CTACATCAGAGAGTAAAATGAAATACATGTAATGTTACATTGTATTGTGCAGGAATATAGTAAAATTTAGAATGCACACATCATTATTTAACAGTATCTTATTAGGGCTTACAGTAACACTTTCCAATTTTATGGAGGTGTGATCACTATTCTACCCAAATACTAATTGTTACATAAGACTTAAGTTACCTGTAATGTACCAAGTTACTTGTAATGTACCATTTGTTACGCATTCTCACAAAAATAGACAATATAAAAATAGACAATATATAACTTACAAAACTGTTACCAAATGCAGAACAAAAACCGATACAGCAAACCTTTGACACAAACACAAAAAGGCAGGCTAGAAGACCCATTAGCAACAATGATTTTTTATCATCTTGTCACACATAAGCTTTCAACTTATATAGTACACTCCAGCCTCTAGGCAGGTGGCTGGGTTTTGGTCTCTTCAGGTGGCCCTGCAGGTGGCTGACCAGCTGCAGGTGGCTGAGCAGGTGCTGCACCAATGGTGGACTGTGGCATGTAAGGGGGTGGAGCCTGGGCACCATAGTACCCCTGCTGCATGGGAGCACCTGTGGCATACGGGTGCTGGGCGATGAACACCTGCTGCTGTGGCATGCCTCCAGCTGCACTGACAGTCGTGTAGGGAACACCTTGTGCACCTGGAACACCTGGATAAGACAAGCAAGGATTAGAGATCAGTAAAATTATACATGTCCCGACATCTGACTGCTTGCCACTCTATTTTCACAAAATATCTGTGATACCAACACTGACACTGTGACACTCTAAAACTTTTGAGCTTCAACAAACAAAGTATTTACCTGTCTGCACAATGACATAAGCAGCTTGTCCAGGTGCCATGTTAGGTCCCTGCTGGCTGTACACAACCACCTGATGAGGGAAACGAGAAACGGTTTTTAAGAAGCTGGCCAGGAGCCAAGATAGGAATAGTTTGGTTGGGTGGTGTGAGTGTGATGACAGTGCATGACTCATCATTGGTAGTCCCAGTAACTTGAATAGGACTCATGCTAGTAATAGTGGACTTACTAGTAGATGCACAAATAATGTATCACAAGCTCTTTCTTATGGAGGAGATATTTTGTAAATCAACAAAAAATTGGCCCTCAGAAAAAAAACAGCACTGCACAACATTTCTATGCTTGGAGAGATAGTAATTTTAGTTGCATGCTGTTTTCAATTTTCCAAGTGACTTTTAAATGACATTCTGACACCTAAATATAAAAATACAGACTGTTTGATGTGTGATGTGATGTTGAATTGTGTACCTGTATCTATGACATGTTCTTTTACACTTACAGGAGCAACGTTGGGATTATTGGGACTCGCCAGCCCGCAACACGGCATGATGGCAGCCACGAAGCCCATGACGATCTCAGCCAGAGCCAGCAGAACATTCACCACATGCAGGGCAATGGCTGGCGCTGTACAGTCATAGTTTCGGTATCTGGGAATTTCAAAACATTTGTTTGCTTGAAACATTTTTTAATCATGAGAATTTCTAATCAGTCTGCAGGCCATTTTCATTATATTTCAGTTCATGAGAGAAGATGTAAGGGTCAGACAAAAATGAAAAATATACATTTTTTTTCATATCTTGCAATATTCCAATTATTTCAAGTTCTGATAAATCTATATACATACTTTTAAACATACATGTTACAAGATAGCCTGGGTAACATCCAGATTTTGGCTCCGCTGCACTCAAAAAATTGAATGATACTAGGTACAAAATACATACCTAACAGTCAGGGATGGTATCTTTATTATCTTTAATAGCAAGTTTGACTTTATTATGTAGTATAACTGAAGGGTAGGTAATTGTAAAAGTCTCACCTACTGTAGCCATAGCCGTAACCATAGCGATAGCCACAAAACATTCCATCAACAATAGATCCAGTAATGCCAAGGGAGAAGCAGCACAACGCAGATAAGATTGTGAAGATCCCCAGTACCATAACTGCTACCATCTAAGAAAAACATCAGTTTAGAAATGTGATAGTGCATTTGTAATGTACTAGTAATGTTCAGTAATGTACACAATGGCTACTAGTAGTACCATTGTTTTCCAAAGAGGTCTACTTGGTACTTGAGAAGAGAAAATCCTATTCTTCAACTACAAATGAACACAAAATGTTATGAAAGTTAATCTGTGTAACAATATAACTTGTTACATTATGATAGTGTTCCACATAACTGACTGACTTAATTTTTGCCCTGGAGTTGACTGGTCAGTTTTTGGATAACTAATCTTAAAAGTTGTTCAGAAGATATGTTGACCTTGAATGTGATGTATGTCTATTTGTATGTTTTTCAATATATTGAAGAAACAGTAACCTACCAGACCCTTGCTTGTTGGTTTTTTCCCACTGTTAATCGCCAAGATACCAGTTATGACAACCTGAGGAAAAGATATACAAGTATACATGTGTCAATGTGCCATATTCAGTGGTAACTATAGAAACAGGGCAATATCATTATAGCCATGGCTTGCAAAGAAAACAATGTATCAGGACAAAATGAAGGCAAGATTGGAACTAAAAAAATATTCCAGTAAAATTAGATGACTTGTACATGTACTTACAAAAATGCCATTCCAAATGGGAGCACTGATGAAGTGAAAGACTGTGTCTGCACCCATGGAGGCAAACGCAGCGTCGGCGGCTATACCCAGGATAATGTTGAGAGATCCCATCACCACAAGGGTCCAGCCCATACCGTGCATGTACTTTCCGTTGTACGCCATGGTTTACTGGTGTTTTACCCTGTGCTGGGTTGTTGAAGTCTGTAAATAAAGTTATAATTAATCATATATATTACCTCTGGGTATGGAAGTGGAAGTATTGTTTTTGGTGGCTGGGCGGTGGGTTGACGTTATAGATATGTGTGTCTGCTTGAGTCAGTAAGGCAGCGTAAGTTGACAGCACTTGGGTTGGAAAAAGATTGACAGGCAGAATAACAGGTCAAAAGGACAGGACACGCCTCTTACAAGTTACAAGGAACGAGAAGGAATGGACGATGATGGATGTCCCAACATACTTTTTTGCTGTTTTGCTACTTTGTTGCTGTTAGTACTACTGCAATATTACTTAACACTAGTAGTAAGTTATAATTACAGATTCAACTTGCTAATCCCCTCAATGCGTTGTTAAACAAAAGAAGGCTTTATTTTTATGGAATTTATAAAATAACGGTACTCGTGCGATCTATAAGAAACAGATATCTTCATGAACATATATTTACGTAACTGTATCCCTAGATACCACACATGCCTTTTGTTGTAAATATTCACGAAACACTCTTTGGCCATAGAACTCTTCAAGGGCTTATAGCACCATCTTTGAACCAAATCATGTCACAGTTTGCTCTCACTACAATCTATATGGGACTAAAAGTGTTACAAGGACGTTATAAATGCCTTATTTTCCCTGTGACGCACCTTGAGTTGTGAAGCTTGGCAGCACAAAATGTCTGCCACTTCCGGGTGTGGTGACGTCACACCCAGTGACGTACTAGGTGTTGTTGCTATCACATGACTTGAGCGGAGCTACGGTAATCTCCAAGCAGATCCTACGGTGGCAAAGCAGTATTCAATGGTCTGGTGAGTGACAGCCAAAACCATACTAAAACACACCAGGCCCAGAGTTAGCCAACGTGAACTGAGTGGGACTGTGGTATAATTTCCTTGGGGGCAATTTGGCCCTGGCACCGAGGAACTGGCCTCAGTGTAGACCCTGGAAACAGCCTGACTCCAAGCAGAGGTTTGGGTTTTGGGTTATTTTGGCGCGTTTATAGACTTTCTAATCAGGTCTTCTTTTTTTGGACTGGAATTTGGGTGAAAAAAATCCCAGTGCAAAAAAGAAACCCAGATAAAATAAGCCTAACACACACCAAAATAACCCAAACTTCTGCTTGGAGAGTATCTGGCACAAGGCCAGGCTAGGGGAGTAACCAATGCAATGGTTTCCCAGTTCTTGTTTCTGTACGCTCTAGTGGCCTAATCTGCAGCGATGATCTTTTCTGCAACCTGCAGTTTGTTTGATCCTCAGCAGGTGTATCCTGTACTTGTAAATTCATGCACCGCGCTCTCGGTTCCCACTTCGTGGGTAGAACATAGACTATAAGTTAAAGTATTCATTATAATATAACTTAGAAGTAAGGGGTACAAAGACGATATAAAGGTCTTGCACAAAAAATTGTGCAACTAATGGATATCCCAATAAAGTATCAAGTAACTTGAAAGATGGACACTACAGTGAAGAACAAACACCTTCGTAAAGTTTTAAAAACTCCAGAAAAAAATATCAGTAATTGAGAAGGACTTTGTGATGTACTTCTGCTGTTTATTGCTCTCAATTATTTAAAAAAATTTAAAAAAAACGATATCATCTTATTCCTGCTCCCTGTAAGGGAAAGACTCTTTGCTAGTCTTGTAAGACTAGTCTATATGATACGATGGGTTAAGTTATCGACACGTCATAGCTTCAAAGTTTTCAGCTGATTTTTCAAAACAACTTCACTGTAGTTAAAAACACGATGTGTTTTTGTTGTTGTTCCAAAGTCGTACTTCTCGTTGAGTCCGTCATGCGTTCACAAGTTGTTGTGGTCAAACTTGGCCGTCAATTGCTCAACTCAACCAAGACCGTCCGTCGCCTCGGTAAACTCCCGGAGAGAAATGGCAGACCACGCCGGTGAGAGATCTAGTGTTTGCCCAGCAGTCGTGCCCCATACACGAACTCCCAATTACT